AAGAAACAAATGTGGCGTTCGCTTAAATTTCAATTCTCAATTAGTTATTATTTATTTCAATTTCCTAAATTTCTTTATTGTCATTTTGTCTCTTTCATCTAATAAAAAAAAAATCAGCAAACTTTCAAACTTTGTCAGAAAAACACGTTAGTTTCTCTATATTCATCATAGGTGTGTGTATTTACCAATACTCGTACATATAACGTAGTAGTGAAGCGTAGTATGAGTAGTCGCACAGATTAGCTAGACGACAGCTGCCTTCAGGCCTTCGGCCCAGTTAACGACTCGCTCAAAAACACATTGCGTATTGACAAAAAGTAAGATAATAACTGTTGTAAATTATGCAATAACAAAGATGATTAATAAATCGGAGAGTATACTTAAAAAGTGTGAATCTCATTTATTTAATGTAAACCTCTCCCTTCACACTAAGCCTAGATATATAAGACAACGGTAAGCTGAATATATTTTTCGTAAAGTACTTGTGTTAAGAAAGTGGGTAAGTGGAAGTAGTATATATGAGTAAATCTCGTGAAATTTTAATATTTTGCACTACTATTGGTGACTCTTAGCTCGCCAATAAATACAAGAGAGTGCATGGATGTAGTATGGATGTCATGGAGACGAAGCGAGTCGAGGAGCGCAAGCAATTCAGGCGTGGATGTTCCGTGCGTATGTATGAACGAGCTGCAAAAATTGTGTGTAAGTGTGAACAGTACGTGACAATTTAACGCATGTACCCAATAATTAGAGTGTTCACACATTTTATTTACCAAACCTCGTTAAACCCCGTTATCCGCGGGGGTTCGGTTCCGAAAAAGTACCGCGTATACCGAAACTGCGGATACCGAAGCATTGTTCTTATGGGAAAAGGGGGGTTCGGTTCCTCGTCCAGCTGAAATGTCAATGTACGAAAGAGTAAAACACCTTTTTTTTATGAAAAATCAAAGTATTTATTTATTTTCGAGTAAAATACTTAGTCAAACTTTTTTGCTGCGCTCTGTGCATCAAATCTTTGTATAAACTTTCATAACACTGCAATGATTTTGTTATATCTTGCTTGAATTGAAGGCTGCGAGTCATTATTGGATCATGATTCATGGCTCGTTCAATGAGTTGTTCTGCATCAGCTAAAATTTTACTTATGACTTATCTTGCATTGTTCTGCATGTTACCCTAAAGAATTTGCACTCTCTCGAGTTTTTTTCTCGTTGTCGGGGATTGTTGTGATCGAAGACTCGTTGACGTTGAATCTTCTTGCGATTGTAGCAACTTTTTCACCAGCTGCCAACGCGTCGAGAATTTTGATCTATTCAACCAAATTAAGAACTTTTCTATCGCGCTTTTTTTCGATTGAAACTTTTTTTTTTGGTGTTGGTCGAGACTTAATTAAATAAAAAATAATAAAAAAATTTTTAAATTTGATGCGCACAAAATGTTAACCTCCAGAAAAAAACCGCGGATACGAAAACAAAAAACCGCGGATACTGAAGTTGGGTCACAAATAGGGGTACCGCGGATACGAAGAATCGCGGATAACGAATCCGCGGATAACGGGGTTTGCCTGTATTCTCTTCAGCCAGGATAAGATCTGCAATAATATATATTTATTTATGTAACAAACCCCCCGTTACACATTTATACATGGCACATACAGACATTTGCTGAGAATTCTATGTAGTTAGCGAATATCAAAAACCAAATTATCGTACAATTTATGGTTCAAAAGCTCATTTTAATTTTTTCAAAATTTGAAATTGCTAAATAGAAAGATCTATAATCTTTTATTATCTTTCATATCATGAAATAATTTTTATCAACAAATTATAACTTTTTATAAAGATGGACATTATTGTAACTAGAAAATGAAAAAAACTTTAAAATGTTGTTAACCCCTATATGATTTTATAAACTTCTTTAAACTTTTAATAACTTTTATCATAGTCTGAAATCCGAATCTTCATGTCAATTAATAAAAGCTTATAGTATGTCGTATATAAGTATTACGTGGATACAAGCTTTTTTTCTGTTTTTGGTTCCTCATAGAGGAAACTCTGTGATAGGCTCGAAAACGAGATTTTGAACCAGACCTTGCCGGACAATTTGGTTTACATATTTGTAAACTAGATTGAATTCTCAACAAATGTCCGTATGTATGTATGTTTTTATTTTTATTCATTTTTTTTTTTTATGTATAAATATATTTTATTTAGTAGAAAGAGAAAATAGTAGTTTACATTAAGTAGCAATGTAGCATATTGTTTTAGGCTGTACATGAGTTATGTAGATACATCCACATCAATTTTCCTTTGTTCTATCCCCGCGGAAACCGCCGTTAGGCATTACTTCACGGGGGTGGAGGGATTGGCGTTTTGCGCTTCATGAAGGCTGGGACGGGGTGGCGTCTTCTTCCAGCCACATCGTCCGGTCATCCCCTTCTGTCCATTTCTTCGTCTCTCCATACAGGAGTATGGAGTCAACGACGTGGGCATACAGCTTACGTCGGCTACTTCTGGGCCCGCCAGAGTTGGGCATGATCTTCGTAAGGGCACCGATCACATCGGCTGCCTTCGCGCTGACAGTTCGGAGGTGGTGGTCGAACTTCAGCTTTACGTTGATGTGCAGGCCCAGGTAGGTGTGTGTGTATGTGCGAAGGTCCGAGGCAAAATCTTCAAAATGTTACGGTGGATTGTATATATTTTAATTGCATTTATTGCCGTTTGTTGTAATAATGAGGCCAGAAAAAGTTTTTTGACAATACACAGGAAAAAAAATTTTTGTTTTCGATTTTTTGAATTTTTTTCGTAAATTAAAAAAAAAATTTTTTTCATTTTTTCAGGTATAAATGCCGGAATTTTAACCATTTTTTTGTTTTCATCGTGAAAGCAGAGCAGCCAAGCTTTAATTAAAGACCAATAGATAGAGATAGAGATAGATAGAGATTCACCGAATATTATGAAAATCAACGACTCGAAATGAAAAGTTGTACTTTTGCTTCTTCATAGAGGTTCGGTAGCAAGGTAATCTAACACGAAATTCTAGAAATCTTTAAGTTTTTTAGGAGTTTTGTATGCATTGAAGAAAACGGAATTTGAAATTCAAAAATAAAATACGAATTTTCCCGTTAATAACCAAACCCTTTCATTAATATAATTTTTTATGAGGAAGCACTTTGGCAATGAATTGGCAGCGGTTTTGTACTGTTAAGTGAGCTTTTTTACTTATTTTCATGCTAGAGGCGAAAAAAAGTAAACGTGTCCGTTAGGATTATTTTCGTCATTTTATATCCACTTATTCAAGTGGGTTTAGGTGTGGATAGACACAGCGTTAAAATTACTTAAAAATTGTAAAAATTACCATTATTAAAGTTGTTATTTCCAATATTTTTGGTTCCTGAAATTTGCATTTCTTCTACAATGATTGCACTCACATATGGTATGAACTGCTTGATTGTACCAAGCAAGGGCAAGTGATCATTTGTTATTACTTCAGGTATGTTTTTCCTATATTTATTGCATTTCGACGTTACGTGAGCCGATGCACCGCAGTGCGCACATTTTTCCAACTGTTAATTACGTCTTTCAACTTCATCTCTGCTCTTAATTCATTTTTTATCCCTATGGACGCTTCGTAAGCATTTTCTGAATCATTAACCGCTGGCATACGTGATTTTATTTGACACTATTTGAATTACCACCCCTGGTAGAAATCATAACATTTATCATGGCCTGGAGAGCAGTTAATGCCCGGCATAAATGTTAAAAAAATGTACTCATAGAACTGTCAAATAACTAGTGCTGTATTGGCTAGAAAATGAATTGCTTTTTTGTTGCAGCATCCAAAAAGAGAGATGTCTCCTTATAAGAATCAAGTCCATTAATGGTCAAAAAATGTGCATTAAATGTCAGTACTGACCAAAAAATGCTAAAAAACTGCTTTGTTGCTGGTCATGATAATCGTTACTTAACCTAATCACCTAATGATCATAATAATAAATCCAGGGTATTTTGATGCGCAACATTTTTTGGACATTTTTTGGACATTTCTACTAAAATATTTTTCCTGGCGGTAAACTGGTGCAAAAATTGTTTCATTTAGGGATTAATAATCGCCAATTCGCTTGCCCAGTTTTTGGTCAGGTTACATTTTAATTGTTTGGTAAATGGCAAAAAAAAAGTTACGATTTCTACCAGGGACCTAGCAGTCTCAAAGTCTTGTTGTAAATTCAATGCGGCCGTCCCATAAGAACCTTCGAGTCGCCTGAAAATTGTTTTAGTCGATCGAGTTTCGGGTGGCTCTAAGGTTCTTATGGGACGGCCGCATTGAATTTACAGAGGGCGCTAATTATCGTTCAATCTCCAATTTATGGGCCATTAAATGACCCGTACGGCGAGTTGGCCAATATGTGGTCAAAAAAACATTTCATTAACCCGTCTCATACTAAGAGATCCTATTTTCGACTTATATTTCCATCGCTCTTTTAAAATCTGGCGTCAGATTTACGATATATGGAACCGTTTTAAAAATAAATTTGTTTAAATAATAAAAACGTGGTTTTTGAACCGTTTTGCTCAAAATTATCGTTTTTATTCACCACGATTACGCATTCAGATCGGCTCTAAACTCTTGTATCAAGTTCGAGTTTCGCAGTACAATGATTGTCCATGGGATATAAATAAAAATAATTGATTCTGATCTTGTTTTGATGAATAAAGATATCAAATTATATTATATTAATTTCATATTAGATCAATTTTGTATTAATGCAGGCATATAAATATAAAATTTATATCTTTATTTATCAAAACAAGATCTGAATCAATTATTTTTATTTATATCTCACAGACAATCCTGGTACTGCGAAAGTCTAACGAAACAAAGAGATTCTTTCCACGAGTCCTTTCTTCTCGTCCAAAGTCGTCTCGAATTGTTCGCAGCAATATACTCAGGTCTATGGTAATGAAAATAATTGATTGTGATCTTGTTTTGATAAATGAAGATATGTATCATAAATCAAGTGTAAAAATGGACTGAAATCATTCATCATCATCATCACCTATATTGAAGGTTTTTAAATAAATTATTAGAAAACGAATAATGGTGTAATTATGTCATATTAGTAAAGTTAGTTCATTAACTTAAATGTTGAAGAAAATGTATTTATATCGTTTATTAGAAGATATAAAAAGGGACCCAGTAATGGATTAGTTCAATTATAACAATAATTTGTCAAGTTCAACAAAATATTGTTAAGATAACAGAACTATGTGAATGATGAACTGAAAAGAGATTAGACTACTGAGTATGTATTATAAGTTTATTGACATTCAACAAGTTTGTACAATTACATGTATATCAGATATTTATTTCTCAGAGATACCAATTTAAATATTGAAAAATATTTATCAGTTTTCAAGAAATTCTCGTGTATCCTGTTCAAGAACAGATCATTGAATGACCCAGATTTGGTAATATTTTCCTTTTTTTTTTTATTATATAATGTAAGTAAAAATTTACTTCTCATTATAGACTATCTATATTTGATATTATTATTAAATTTGTTTTATTACAGTTTGAAAATATACAACATTTTAGAGAAAAATTACTTCCCCGATGCATAAAAAAATTGTTTACCTCAAGAAAAAAGGCTGTAAGTAAACTAATAATAATAAAATGAAAGGCACATTCATTCAATGCAGTGTCTTCAAATAAACAGACTCATTATACTCAGGTGAAAATAGAATGTAAGATCTGACTCCAGATCTGGCATCTTAATAACTCTGTTTAAGGAGATGCTACTCTTGAAAGTGTCATTTTAATTATCTATTTTTGAATTTTCCTTCTTTTTAAGGGGAGGCTCTCATGAGACTCGATCAAAAAATCGTTTTTGTTTTTTTGCTTACTTAGAAAAATTTCTTCGATATTTACTCAACTTACATTTTTTTATTACAGAAATCGACTTGTATACTTGTTTTAAGAAAGTGAAAGAAACATTTGTTACGAAATGAAAAAGGAGATCAATAAGTTATCAATCAATCTTTCTAGTAATCCTGCAGGTCTAATGATGTAACTCTTCAAAATATGCAGTCGCTATTTCCATTTAATGCTGTTCGCCATTTTCAAGCAATGTGGAAATATTCATCTGCTTTCTACAGTAATTTTTAATTATTTCCTTATGACAAAGTTAAAGAGTATTGTAATCTCATTATTGTAAATCGTCGATTCTCAGTTGAGTCAAATGTCCAAAAAAAGTAACTTTGTGCAAATATAAAAAACTTGATTTTCCAATTTCGGAAATAAACTAAAGAAACTTAAAAATTTGACTTCACTGAAAATGAGCCAAATATGTCAAGGACATTTATTCAAGTAGAGAGAGAGGTATGTCGGTATGTAGGATGAGTTGGCATAAAAAAATATTTTTTCTTATCAATGGCTTAAACCGAAATGGTGGTTTGCATGTAAACACTAAATATTATGACTGATACTATCATCTCCATACGAGTTATTGATGAGGGGGAAACATGTCATTTTACCAACTTACCCCACATGCCAACACACCTCGTTCTTCCTTACACTTCATATATTGTACTAGGAATACCCGTCGTGGCTTCGCTCACATTCAATTTGCACGGAGTAGAATTCAGGAATGTATTTAAAAAAGTGCTTGAAGGTATGATTCGTAATTAGGAATGACAGAAGATATGAAGTCAGCAACGTACATCATAGAAACCTTCCCAGTGGTATAATGAATGTATGGTAACAATTTCAAAGGAATCGGAAGGGAAGTTTTTAAGAACATAAAATACACACAGACGTCGTTTCTGCTTTATATATATAGATAGATGTATGAGCGATGAGTGAAGTGAAGGGAGTGAGTATGTGCGAAGTGTTGAAAAGCGAACAATATTCGAAAGTCGAAAGAAAATAAGGAGAAATGTATGCAAAGATCATAGGAACCTTTTCAGTGATATAATGAATACATGGTAAAAATTTCTAATCGAACGGAAGGGTAGTTTTTAATAACATAAAATACAAACAGACGTCGTTTCTGCTTTATATAGATAGATACATGTATGAGCGATGAGTGAAGTGAAGGGAGTGAGTGTGTGCGAAGTGTTGAAAAGCGAACAATATTCGAAAGTCGAAAGAACATAAGGAGAAATGTATGCAAAGATCATAGAAACCTTTTCAGTGATATAATGAATATATGGTAAAAATTTCCAATCGAACGGAAGGGTAGTTTTTAAGAACATAAAATACAAACAGACGTCGTTTCTGCTTTATATATACATAGATAAGCGATGAGCGATGAGGGCGATGAAGGAATTGAGTGTGTGCGAAGTGTTGAAAAGCGAAAAATATTCGAAAGTCGAAAGAAAATAAGGAGAAATGTATGCAAAGATCATAGGAACCTTTCCAGTGATATAATGAATATATGGTAAAAATTTCTAATCGAACGGAAGGGTAGTTTTTAAGAACATAAAATACAAACAGACGTCGTTTCTGCTTTATATATATATAGATAAGCGATGAGCGATGAGGGCGATGAAGGAATTGAGTGTGTGCGAAGTGTTGAAAAGCGAAAAATATTCGAAAGTCGAAAGAAAATAAGGAGAAATGTATGCAAAGATCATAGGAACCTTTCCAGTGATATAATGAATATATGGTAAAAATTTCTAATCGAACGGTAGGGTAGTTTTTAAGAACATAAAATACAAACAGACGTCGTTTCTGCTTTATATATATATAGATAAGCGATGAGCGATGAGGGCGATGAAGGAATTGAGTGTGTGCGAAGTGTTGAAAAGCGAAAAATATTCGAAAGTCGAAAGAAAATAAGGAGAAATGTATGCAAAGATCATAGGAACCTTTCCAGTGATATAATGAATATATGGTAAAAATTTCTAATCGAACGGAAGGGTAGTTTTTAAGAACATAAAATACAAACAGACGTCGTTTCTGCTTTATATATATATAGATAAGCGATGAGCGATGAGGGCGATGAAGGAATTGAGTGTGTGCGAAGTGTTGAAAAGCGAAAAATATTCGAAAGTCGAAAGAAAATAAGGAGAAATGTATGCAAAGATCATAGGAACCTTTCCAGTGATATAATGAATATATGGTAAAAATTTCTAATCGAACGGAAGGGTAGTTTTTAAGAACATAAAATACAAACAGACGTCGTTTCTGCTTTATATATATATAGATAAGCGATGAGCGATGAGGGCGATGAAGGAATTGAGTGTGTGCGAAGTGTTGAAAAGCGAAAAATATTCGAAAGTCGAAAGAAAATAAGGAGAAATGTATGCAAAGATCATAGGAACCTTTCCAGTGATATAATGAATATATGGTAAAAATTTCTAATCGAACGGAAGGGTAGTTTTTAAGAACATAAAATACAAACAGACGTCGTTTCTGCTTTATATATATATAGATAAGCGATGAGCGATGAGGGCGATGAAGGAATTGAGTGTGTGCGAAGTGTTGAAAAGCGAAAAATATTCGAAAGTCGAAAGAAAATAAGGAGAAATGTATGCAAAGATCATAGGAACCTTTCCAGTGATATAATGAATATATGGTAAAAATTTCTAATCGAACGGAAGGGTAGTTTTTAAGAACATAAAATACAAACAGACGTCGTTTCTGCTTTATATATATATAGATAAGCGATGAGCGATGAGGGCGATGAAGGAATTGAGTGTGTGCGAAGTGTTGAAAAGCGAAAAATATTCGAAAGTCGAAAGAAAATAAGGAGAAATGTATGCAAAGATCATAGGAACCTTTCCAGTGATATAATGAATATATGGTAAAAATTTCTAATCGAACGGAAGGGTAGTTTTTAAGAACATAAAATACAAACAGACGTCGTTTCTGCTTTATATATATATAGATAAGCGATGAGCGATGAGGGCGATGAAGGAATTGAGTGTGTGCGAAGTGTTGAAAAGCGAAAAATATTCGAAAGTCGAAAGAAAATAAGGAGAAATGTATGCAAAGATCATAGGAACCTTTCCAGTGATATAATGAATATATGGTAAAAATTTCTAATCGAACGGAAGGGTAGTTTTTAAAAACATTAAAATACAAACAGACGTCGTTTCTGCTTTATATATATATAGATAAGCGATGAGCGATGAGGTCGATGAAGGAATTGAGTGTGTGCGAAGTGTTGAAAAGCGAAAAATATTCGAAAGTCGAAAGAAAATAAGGAGAAATGTATGCAAAGATCATAGAAACCTTACCAGTGATTTAATGAATATATGGTGAAAATTCCTAATCGAACGGATGGGTAGTTTTTAATAACATAAAATACAAACAGACGTCGTTTCTGCGTTATATAAAGAATAAGCGATGAGCGGTGAGGGCGGGGAAGGAAGTGAGTGTGTGCGAAGTGTCGAAAAATGAAAAATATTCGAAAGACGAAAGCAAAAATGGAAAAATTTCTTTTAAAATCATAGAAACCTTCCCAGTTATATAATGAATATATGGTAAAAATTTCTAATCGAACGGAAGGGTAGTTTTTAAAAACATTAAAATACAAACAGACGTCGTTTCTGCTTTATATTTATAGATAAGCGATGAGCGATGAGGGCGATGAAGGAATTGAGTGTGTGCGAAGTGTTGAAAAATGAAAAATATTCAAAAGTCGAAAGAAAATAAGGAAAAATGTATGCAAAGATCGTAGGAACCTTCCCAGTTATATAATGAATATATGGTAAAAATTTCTAATCGAACGGAAGGGTAGTTTTTAATAACATAAAATACAAACAGACGTCGTTTCTGCGTTATATATAGAATAAGCGATGAGCGATGAGGGCGGGGAAGGAAGTGAGTGTGTGCGAAGTGTCGAAAAATCAAAAATATTCGAAAGTCGAAAGTAAAAATGGAAAAATTTCTTTTAAAATCATAGAAACCTTACCAGTGGTATAATGAATGTATGGTAAAAATTTCTAATCGAACGGAAGGGTAGTTTTTAAGAACATAAAATACAAACAGACGATGTTTCTGCTTTATATATATAGATCTATGAGCGATGAGGGCGGGGATGAAGTGAGTGTGTGCGAAGTGTTGAAAAGCGAAAAATATTCGAAAGTCGAAAGCAAAAATGGAAACATATCTTCTAAAATCATAGAAACCTTTCCAGTGCTATAATGAATATATGGTAAAAATTTGCAGTGCGGCTAGATTTTCCAAAATATCTCATTTTTACCAGGAAAAATCAATAATCATCCGAAAATGTCACTTTTTCCGTACTAATTTTTTCGACATATTTAGCTCTCTAAGTTTGATGGCGATTTTCGCGGTGAAAATGTGACATTTCGGATAATCGAATAGTCTTATTGGAAAGCTGAGGAAATTTTTTATTGAGTACAGTAGTCAGTTAAATTTTTTAGATGAGTTTTGATACTTTTTCAACGATTCGGAAATCGAGTAATAAGTCGTATTTGCGTAAAAAGATGACTTTACGGCGTCTAAAACACAAAAGTGCCCTAAAAAAATGAACTATTTTCAAATTTCATGTTCACGCATTTTTTTTCACTTCTGGAGATCCTATGAACAATTTGCGGTGGTCCGGGTCGCTGGGCACGCAAAAAAATTTCACCTTTTTT